ATGTGAAACTGCCTCTTATAAGAAAATGTAAAGCAAATTCAAAATCATTAGATTCTTAGGACAAACTCGAATTTCTGGGTTGCTGCAGAAGCATAATAGTGTACTGCCCACAGGTATCAATAAGAGGATAGATCACAAGGTGTGGTTACTAAATTACAGTTAGAATGAAAATTAGAAGAGAAAAAAACTGAGAAAGCAGCATAAACAAATGTGATGATTTAAAACAACAAAAATCACCAAGATAGCAATCTAGACTTTCAGCCATAGAAAGGTGAATAAAGGTTGATGCAGAATATGTATCGAAACCATGATTGACAATCTATTTGTATGTGGTCCAAATAGGATCACTACCTTTAAATACTGAATAGGATTAAGCTAATGGTCTTAAAAGGTCAGGGTGCTTATCAGAAGCTGATTTCACCAACTCAAGTCCATTTCTTAACTTCTCTGTTTCTTCTAAAGTAGCATCTATAGCAATGAGAAAGCCATGTTTATGGTTAAAAGGAAACCACAAATCTGCATTTTCATATTAATCAAGTGTAAAGGAAAAAAAAAAAAAAAGAATTAGTCAAAGTTGATTACTTTTATCCATCTATGCTGGAGTAGATTTTTCTGGCTTGTTGGAGGCCTTAGATAGGTTATCACCATAAAAGATTCCTGCTTCAATTGGAGAAGAACTTCAGACTTCAATTGATAATTCCCATTCACAATGTCAATCTATATGAGAAGTCAAAATCTGATGAGCAGCTGCAGTGTTAAGACTCTTAACCAAGTTCCTAAATGTTTGAAACTTTGATTAGTTGTCATTAACAAGTGCAAAACATCGCAGCTGCTATTTGTATATATGACTTGACAGTCAACACCCATGACAGATGAGCATATAATTTCATTGCAGACAGAGCATGTCCACTACATTAGTTATCCCTATATGATCTGTTTTAACAAATTGGGAGGTCTCAAATAGGGTGATCTTTCTTTCACCCTCATTAGCTTCTGAAACCCTAAACTAACCTACAAACACAGCTAAAGACTATGCTCTAGTTAGGAATCATTTTTATGATACACTCCCTGAAAATTTCATCAATTCAAAAATCGAATGCTGAAAAACTACACAGATGAGTGCTAGGACGTGTACCATAAATAATAGTAGCCACTGGAACCT